GATGAATCACGAGAATTCTCACTTCAGATTACACAGTGTTTTACAAAGTATCATACTTTAAAAAGATATTAGATATTTTAAGAATGTGTAATAAATAACTTCCAAATGCAATGGGTGTTTAATTTTAAAGCGATCCTTAAGCATTTATGTAAAACATTTTTTTGTACTAATTCAATAGAAACTTATCTGGCCACTGGGTAAAGCTAGAAATAAAACTACTGGTCCACAATGTGTTAAGATTCAGCCTTTAAAAAATTTAGCATAATATGAACAATGACTTTTCTCAAAGAATATTGGTGTCACAGAAGATAAATCTAAAGAAGTAGACAGTACCTTTGTTTTGAAAAACATTTTTAATGAGGCAAATAAAACTCAAGAATGAAAATTAGTAATAGGAAAATAGCCTTAAAAATTTCTTCGAAAAATTTTGTTGATGCTATTTCTGTATACACACAGAGAGAGATAAACTATATGTGTGTGCAAAGCATACTATTTATATTTGGAAATCAACCCAACTGGGCAAGTCCTTTCCTCATTATGCTAAACTCACCCTTTGATTGGGAATCGAGGCACATGATCTCACACCAGGAAAATTTATTTGGGTAGCTTTATATGTCTTCTCTCTTCTTCAGAAGCAACAAAGACAAAGAGAAAAACTATACCAGTCCATGGTACTGCTGGCTGGTATGAAATAATCTCTTTTTCCAATTAAAGGACTTCGACTTATTTTTTCCAGGCTCCCAGCTGCCTTTTGATTATTTAACTGCTAACTGGTTAATGAATAGTTTGCTTTTTCAAAAACTCTCTTAACTGTTCATTTTATTAGATTAAGCATGAAACATCTTGGCTGCAAACTAAGTAAAGGTGGATAGCCAGACAGGCAGGAAATAAGGGAGGAAGAGGAAAGAAAAGAGTAAAAAGAAAGAGACAAGGAAATGGGAAAAGGGAAGAAGAAAACCATTGTTTTTCCAAATGCTTCAACAGACAAGGATTTTATGCAGAGCTGTGATGTAGGTTCACCAGAGTGCCTATTCAAGATTACCTAAAGGGTTCAGAAATAAGCAACCTCCAATTTATCTCCAGCTATAAAAATCCAGGGTCCTCTGAATGACCCCAACCCTTAGTGAGTGACCTTAGGAACTGAGTACTTGGTGAGGAGTCTTCCTCTCTAGGGAGACTTTAACTCCCTAGACCACCCGGGAGCCTTCTAAAGTACCTTGGCATCTTCCAGCCACCTCCTTTCCAATATCTCATCTCCTGGCATCGGGAGAGTCAGGTTATTATTTTCTCCACCAATGGGTGGTATTCTCTTTCTCCACATACACACATGCCACACACACACCCATCAAATGGAAGTGATCTGATTTCTAGAAAATCAGTGCAAGTTTTCTAAACCTCTTAAGAGATTAATTCAAGCAAGAAACATTTTCTGAATGCCAACCATGTGTGAGACTGTTAGGTCTTGGAATGCAGAAGAAAATAGGAAGTGGTCCTTGCCTTTAATGGTTTAGAAAGATTATTTCAAATTTCATTACCTGTTGTCTAAGGCACATGTTTAACTGTGGGTGGCAGGGCCAGTGTGTCTGGGAAAGCAGCATATAATATTTTCAGTCATATTTATTTGCTCAAAGATATGTAAGAATCCATTACTCTTCATGCATTTTATTACCTCCTTGTCTTGTTTTTTAATTACTTTCCTTTTACTTAGAAGCCCTTTCTCTCCTTTTCCATTCTCAAATCCCAGATCAAATATTACCACTTGCTTAGTTTTCCCTGACACCTTCAGTTTTACAATTGCCTTCCTGTTATATACCTATTACAGCTCTTAGCCATTACAGTTACACTGGCTATATGAAAAGAACATTAGTTCCTGGTTCATAATAAGCTCTCAACAATGTGTCTTTGAAAGAAGAAACAGAGAGACAGGGAGGGAGGTTTATGTGCTCAAGATTGCTGAACTGAGTACCTACAGGAAAGGGCAGGGTGTTTTGTGGTTTTTATGCCTGGTTTTTGTTTCTGTATAATCATTTCTATCCTTCTGTTCAGAAGAGGATACCTGTTTGTTTGCACTTATTGGCTGAAAATTGAAGAAAGTAAAAAAAAAAAAAAAAAAAAAAAATGGCCTTTCATCCGCATATTACTCTTGAGAAAGTTGTTCTCTTCACCATCATTTTGTTTATAATGTGAAAATACATCCAAAGTAACTACATTTCTGTATTGTCATTCTTCAATAATATTTAGATGGAGACTTTTAGAATAATGTCCCCAAAGAGCTACTTTCTTGAATCTTAAATATAAATGTTTCTCTTGGAAAACAAAGATTAAAAAGAATAACCTCTACGGAAATCCTTCTTCTACAAAGCTTTGTCACTTACATGCTGGGAATATTTTGAAAATGTGCTCTGAATGGTGATCTGTACATTTAAATAAGTAATTATTATTTAGCAAATAAGGGAGAAGACCTTGGAAAGTGATTACCAATAAATAAGAGATTTTAGATGCAAATAAAGCACAGTACCGATTTATGGAAATAGAAGCAAGATTTAAGAGGCAATGAAATGTTTAAGATATTGATTGTTTTATTTACAAATCTGAATTAATATTTAAAGAATTGTATGCCACATGCCTATTTCAGCATTTGATATGCTCAGACCCCACTCTTTGTGAACATACTCATTATTTTATGATAATATTTTATAAATATTTATATACTTTTAAAACAGTGGGCATTTTAAAATCTTATTCTTTAAATGAAACACTGAGAGCTTTAAAAAAGAAAAAGCAGACATGACAGCTGGGAAAAATTACAAAGCTTTGCTATAGGGACATTCTATAAGGAGTATTGGATATGCTGATGTGTTGGATATACTAACTCCTATTGCCACATCACCACTGCTAACTACATATACTAATGCCAGTAGTAATGATGATGATAACTCCTTTATTTTGTATAGATTTTTACATATCACAAGCCTTTCATGTCCCTATTTTTGATTCTCATAACAATCATGCCAATGATGGAATTTTTTCCTAAGAAAAAATTCAAAGATAGGAAAGTATCATATGTATTAAGATGTTCATCCTTTTGTTATACATAATAATGAAAAAATCAAAATGCCAAAATGTATCAGAATGTTTTACATAAGATGGTCAATCTATATGTTACATGATTTAAAATATTAATACAAAGTCTATATTATCATAAAGGAAAAATTCTTGTGTTATTTCGCTAGAAAACAGATGATAAAATAGTATTTGTGCCATTATAACTATGGAAATATTTTTATGTGTTTGGACAAGGTCTCCATGGTTACTTGGTCAAATGTAAAATGTCTTATGATGGCATAGTACAGCAGTAAGTTTTTGAACTATTTTAGGTTTTCAGTGACAGTGGTATTGTTTATTATACTATAATATATAAATGTTTATGTTTTAATAAGAAATTAAATGCATATGCTTGTAATAATAAATTTTGCCAAATGCATGTATCACATAAAACAATGCATCTCCTTAGGGAAAAATCTTTTATGAAAAAATGATTACAGGTTGCTTTTCAACAGATGTGATTCTCACTCTCCTCACCCACCCCATGTGCATCGGGATCTCCAGGGGTGATTTGAAAAAATGCTTCTGCTCAGGCTGAGTGTGCCCCAGAGATGGGTTTTGAACTGTTCTGGAATAGGGCCCAAGGCATTGCTTTTTCTTTTCCTTTTTTTTCTTTTCTTTTTTTTTTTTTTCTTTTTTCTTCCTTTCCCTCCCCTCCCCTCCCTCCCCTCCCCTTTCCTCCCTCCCCTCCCTTTTTCTCTTTTCTCTTTTCTCTTTTCTCTTTTCTCTTTTCTCTTCTTTTCTTTTCTTTTCAAGTTATCCAGGTAATTCTATGGTGCAGCTTGGATTGAAAACAAGCAACCAAATTTTATATTTTTAAATTTTAAATTTCCTGAATTTTCATCTCTTGCATAAGACTTTCAAGATTAAAAATGCTGTTTGAGTGAAGACTTGACTGACTTAAGGAATAATGAGTGCAAAGTACCTGTATGCTATCAAAGATTTAAAAAATAATAAAATGTAAGGTTAGTAAGAATGAGCACTACCATGCACTGTTTATAGAAATGGAAATTGAATGTATATTGATCAACTTTGCTGGAGGGCAGTTTGACAAGAAGTATTCAAAGCTTTAAACATATGTAAACTCTTCTGTTCCTGGAATTCCACTTTCAAGACTTTATCTTTAGAAAGTAATTTAGTATATTGACAAAGATGAATTAAAACTTTTAGTGCTGCTTGCCATGTAAAAAAAATTGTAAACAATCAAAATATCACAGCTGTATGTTGATTAAATTGTGGTATATCCATACATGATATTAGTAAAATAATTCTATAGTTAAAAGAGTTAACATGGAAAGATAGTTACAATATGTTGATAAATGAAAAAAGTACTGATAGTATGATACCATTTTTGTTAAAATATGTAGCACATGTATATATGTATACATATGTGTGTATACAAATACAGATGGGTAAAGTCCAAAAAACTATACATTAATATATTAAAATAGTTATAAGTATTTTTTATTTTGTTTTATACGCTCATGCATATTCTACTTTGTTTTTTTTACTAAAAGCAAGTACCAGTATTACAAATAAACAGAAACTTTTTTAAAAGGAAAACTATTTTTTTTTTAAATGAAGGCTTGTTGCTTCTATCTAACCCAAGCGAATTAACTGCTACAGAAATTCCCCCATCTCCGCTCTGTCCAGCTGTGAAAAACAAGCTATTTCTTAGTAACCTAAACTTCTCCAACAAATTTACTTTTCAAAGGAAACTTGTGTCATTAACAGGTGGGGTATCATCTCTGGTCACAGTTTCTCTGGTTAAAATCCCTAAAGGTGACAGCTAATGAGTCAGCTGAAATGCATCTTCAATGCGTTGTCATGGGGTTGCCTTCCTTCACACCCACCAGTAACCGTGGCCTTTCTGTTCTGTGTTGTGTGCATCCCAGGCGGCTCGGGACCCTCCTCCTCCATCGCCATCGCCGGCGCCAGCCACCCGGCCATCACCAAGACCACCTCTGTCCTGCAGGACGGCGTCATCGTCACCACGGCGGCCGGCGCCCCGCTGCAGGGCCCGCTGCCCGTGGCCAGCGACTTCCCCTTCGCCGGCCAGGAGCACGCACTGCATTTTCCACCCAACAGCACTTCCAACAGCCATCCTCCACACCCCCTGAACCCCAGCCTCCTCAGCCCTCTGCCTCTCTCTTTGCCAGTGAACCAGCAGCATCTCCTAAGCCAGAACCTATTCCATATCCTCCAGCCTTCGGCGGGAGAAGGCAAGTCTGAGACCAACCTCCACCCCCTAGGTTTCCTCACCCCCAATGTAAGCGCTGCTCTAGCTCTCCTCTCCGGGGACGATGGGCAGGGCCTGCAGCCCGTCCACCTCCAGCTCCTAGCGGCCCTGCTTCAGAACCAAGCCCACGCGGCTGCCGTGCTCCCCCTGCCACCTTTCAACCTGACCATCTCAGATCTCCTTCCGCAGCCACACACCCCTGTGCCCTCCTTAGCACAGATGGCAGCCCCGCCAGACCACTTGCCAAGCAATCAGCCAGACAGCAGCCGGGCTGAGGCCCTTTTAACCAGCCCCCCGGGGAACCCTGTGCCCAGCTTTGCAGGCAGTGATGCTCCTTCCAACCCCCTGCTCCTCCCAGCTGTCCCTGGGGCCTCGGGATTAATGGCCTTGAACCCCCAGCTGCTGGGAGGTGTCCTGAACTCGGCATCGGCCCACACCGCTAACCATCCAGAGGTTTCCATAGCAACCTCCTCCCAGGCCACCACTACCACAACCACTGCATCATCAGCAGTGGCAGCACTGACTGTCTCAACACTTGGTGGGACAGCAGTGGTGTCAATGGCAGAAACATTGCTGAATATATCTAATAGTGCTGGGAACACACCTGGTCCAGCTAAACTCAACAGTAACTCTGTGGTGCCACAGCTACTTAACCCTCTACTGGGGACAGGTCTGCTTGGTAAGTTCAAATTTTTTTTTCACAAATTTTTTTTTTTTACAAACGAAACGTTTTTCTAATTCTAATTTCTCATTTTTAAAGACTCCATTTTGTCACACTATTTTTAAAAAAATGTTTTTGTTCTGTCACAGCTTGCTTCAGGAACTAAATATGATAACACCCACACACCACCATCGTTATACAAACATGAAAATGACTTTTTTCTTCTCGCCTATCCTAGCAAATACTAAATGCCAATTTAATCTGCTTTCTCTTATCTTCTAATTCTGATGCCACCTAACGCTAACCTACCCGTCATCCTCTTAAGCCAAGTAGAGTCTTATTATTCAAATAATAAGGCACAGGTACATCTTAAAGATAACTTTTACTTGGATTCTAGTTGGTGTGGCATCACAGGGTTAGTATGAGCAGCTGCACCGTGGATGGAAACAGTCTCAGGAAATGTTTTTGTTTTGTTTTGTTTTTTTCAGATGACCCCTCAATAAACAGAATTAAAAACATTCAAAGTTAAAAATGTATCCAAGTTCAAGGAAATAGCCCCGATAGCTGTTGCTAGATTTCCTCGGACAGTATTATTCTTTAAAAGTTTTGTGGCTTAAAAACAAATTCTTCATGTAAATTATAAGGTCACGAAAATGTTAGATAATAACATTTAGATAATAACAAGTTCAAAAATATAAGATAATATAAAGTACAGAGATGGTTTCCATAAAATCTGGTAGCATCGGCAAATATACTTAATATTATTAAGGGCATGTTCAATGTATGCAAAAAAAATATATGTTTCCAGACCTATGGGCACCATTATAATATAATTTAATTAGTTTTATTTGTCATTGAACTCAATGCAGTTAAGTAATCTAAAAAAGCATACTAGATTTATATATTTCTGGTTACAGAATAATTCCTATGACATCATCTTCAAAATAACTTCAGTGTAATTTCAAATCAAGTCTATTTTGAATTTTGAATATAAATTTAGTTATTAGCTAATCTTATCTAATTACATAATATTTTTAAATGATTATGACAATGATTTCTTTTTGTATTGTTCACTTTCTTTACAATTTTAATTTTAGTTGACCAACCTTTTACTTAAAAACATGATGATTGTGACTAGAGAACTAAACTTTGTAAACAAGGCCTGATCAGATCCACTTATTTTAATCATCTGATCAGATTCTTATGATTGCTAAAACAGGTTAGGACTAATTTCTACCTTGAATTGTAGGTGCTTTAATAAAAAATAGTTTCAAAGAATTTTTAACACTGAAGCTCAATGTAAGGACTAGCTAAAGGATAGAGAAAGACTCATCTCTCATGACATAAACCAAAAAACTAATTATGAGAAATAAAATTAAATAGTAAAATACTCTTTCCTTACCACTTAGTGAGACTTTGAAGAGAAAAAGAGAAAAAAATATTTATCATGTAAGTCTAGTTTTTAGTTTTTGTTTCAGGAATCGTTGGGTACAAAGACAGGCATAGGATTGCCAAAGAATCACTTTGACTTAACATTTTATGTTTTCCAAACTATAGGTGACATGTCCTCAATAAACAATACTTTGAATAATCATCAACTGACTCATCTACAGTCGCTGTTAAACAACAATCAGATGTTTCCTCCAAATCAGCAGCAGCAGCAGATTCTCCAGGGCTACCCAAGCCTCCAGGCATTCCCAGGACAGCCCACAGTGCCCTGCCCAGCTAACAATAACCCTATGGCTTGTCTGTTTCAGAACTTTCAGGTACTCTCCTTCCCTGGGTTACTTTAGTAGAAACCAATGTCTACGTTTTTGTTTTTTTTTAAACACTTAATTTGGGCAGAGACAAAAGAAGGAAGTTACTAGTATATGCCCTTCCACCTCTATTGCTGTCATTTCTCTATAATGAATATTGTTAAACATCCTAGTCTTTGGGTGAAGGCTATTTTATTTTGTCTGAAGCATCTCACTGGTCCTCTTAGAGCTATTAGTAAAAGCTGATCTTGGTACCCTCTTACACCCTTTTGAGGGTTTAATCCCTTTGCTCTCATAATTAAAATCCATATCCTTAACATGCCTGCCTTGCCTGCCTCACTCTCAGCCCCAGCTCTCTCCACTCTCTCCCTGGCTTCAGCCACTTGGTCGTCTTCTTAGTTAGATAAACTGAATAACTTCCTGATGGATTTAGGAGCTAGATAGAAAGAGTAACACTAAGTAAGTATAAGGTGAAAACATAGGATGTTTTTATTATTTGGGGGGTAGGAAAGGCTCTTTTAGAAGACACAAAACAAAGTAGTAAAAAAAAAGTAACAAAATTGAATACATAAACCTTTAAAATCTGTATGATTAAGTGTATTCTAAACAAAGTGAAAGACAAGTGATAACCTGGAAGAAAATTTTGCATAACTATAGCAAATATCTGATATCTGTAATATAAAAAGAGCTTCTAAATATTATAAAAATAAAGATAATTAATTAGAAAAATGAGCAATAGATGTGAACAGTCAATTCACAGAAAATAAAAATTATTAATAAACATGAAAAGAATAATCAGTTATATATTAATAACATGCTGACAGTGGTGTGGGATAATGATATATATTGTTATAAATCATATATATTGTTGGTCTGATTAGATGCTGACACAGTCCTTTTGGAGAGTAACTTTGGTTTATTAGATTTTTAAATACACATGACCTTTGACACAAAAATTTAACTTCTATGTGTCTAGGTTAAAGAAGTCTTTGATGTGAACCAAAAGGCACAATTCAGAATGTTCATTATAATTGCTTAAACATCCATCAGTAGGAACATGGTTAAATATAGTATGGTAGATCCATCTATCTAGTTTAAAAAATTAGCTAGACTTGCCAAGCTGGTGTGGCTCAGTGGTTGAGCAGTGACCTATGAACCAGAAAGTCACATTTCGATTCCTAGTTACAGTTCAATTCCTGCTCAGGTTGCAGGCTCAGTCCCCAGTGTGTAGCATGCAGAAGGCAGCCAATCAATGATTCTCTCTCATCATTGATGTTTCTCTCTCTCTCTCCCTCTCCCTCTCTCTTTGAAATCAATACAAATATATTTTTAAAAATTAGCTAGACTTATATATAATCTGATATGTTAAGGTCCACAAGATTGCAAGACTCCAATACTATAGCATTGCAGAAGAAAAGTAAAATATAATACCATTTATATGAAAGGTAGAAAGAAGGAAAGGAGGGAGGAAAGAAGAAAGATTAGATATCCACCTACACACTTGAATGTATTAAAAATATGTGTCTGCAAGGATGCTCTCCAGCACTGATTACTATAGTACTTCTTCTTTTTTTTTTTTAATATATTTTATTGATTTTTTACAAAGAGGAAAGGAGAGGGACAGAAAGTCAAAAACATCGATGAGAGAGAAACATCGATCAGACGCCTCCTACACACCCCCTACCAGGGATGTGCCTGCAACCAGAGTACATGCCCTTGACTGGAATCGAACCCAGGTCCCTTGAGTCCGCAGGCCGACGCTCTATCCATTGAGGCAAACCCGTTTTGGCATGATTACTATAGTACTTCTAAGAAAGGAAATTGGATTGCAGTAGGATAGCAAAGTACAGATTTGGGTGGGGCATAATGATAAAGAAAACTTTTGCCTTTTTGGACAATGTAAAAGTATTCATTTACATTTTAAGTAATAAAATACTTTAGAAAGAAAGAGGAAGTGTTCAACCATGTCACCAAGAGAACAAGCGGGTGAAGCTTGCAGAGAAGCCATTAGATTCAGCAGTGAGCGCGTCACCAAGGACTTGATGGGATGCAGTTTGGGTGGAGTAGTGGGAGCATGAGCCAGATTGCAATGGATGAAAGGATGAAAACAGTTGGGAATTAAAGAGTGTAGATGAAGAACTTTAAAAAACTGAGCGATAAAGAGCATACGACAAACAGGGTAATGTCCCAAGGCAGGCATAGGTTGAGTGCAAACTTTGTAATATGAACGCCATGCACATAGTGGTATGCTAAAGAAAAGAAACCAAAAAGAAGAAGAGATGATAATTACCAGAGGGAAAGGGTGGGGGTTGGGAGGTTAGAAGAGAATAGATAAAGGGGGGATAGATGACTTGGAGTGGTGAATACACAATACAATATACAGATGGTATATTTTAGAATGGTACATATGAAATATAAGTAATTTTATTAATCATTAAATTTATTTTTTTTAATGTGGAAAAGAGAACATAAAGAGGATAAGGGATAATAGGTAAGGCAAGATCCCTGAGGAGGAAGTAGGATCCAAAGCACAAGTGGAGAACTTGCTCTCAAAGGGCAGAAGGGGCCCCTCTGACCCTGGGAAGCAGGACAGGATTTGGGACAAAGTTGCACAGAAGTATGTGCCGCCAGAAGCCAGGGAGGAGCAGAGTATAAGAATTGTGAGAATTCTTAGCCTATGAACTCCATTTTCTGTGTTAAGTAAGGCCATCTACTAAGAATGATGCCAGAGACAGTACAGCAACCAGCTTGTGGAAGTGGGTAAAATCTGAATAGTGATGAAGCATCACAGACTCAGCACCCTCGCTATAGCTAGATGAGGCAGTTGAATTGATTAAGGACTGGGATTTTGTCTGGTAGGTGTAGACCCCGGGAAAGTGGCAAGAGAGTCATTGATGTGCTGGTGCTCCCAGATTCTGGGTTAGTGGGGAAGGATGGGAAGACCGGAAGGGAGTGATCCAGGGCGTGGGGGTGACATCCCAAGTATCAAAGATCTGGAGCAGCGATCCTTAGATGGGGTTGGTGAAGTTAGAGGGAACTCAGTGACTTTTCCCAAACTGCACCCATCCTTCTTGTCCTAAGCATTAATATTCTTCCCTGTGGCATTCCCTCCCTTCACCTCTTCCCAACTGAGAATCACTTCTATAAGGAGCCATTGTCACTGGTGACAGCACAGGGGTGTCACTCAGCTGATGCCTGGTAAGGTTGAAAATTAGACTTTAAAATTTTAGTGGTGTATTAGAAATATCTTGTTGTGTGTATTTTTGTTTTGTTTTGTTTTGTTTTATCCTCTGTTGTATTTCACTTAATTCAGTAGAAATCATTTTCAAAATCTGGTTCCCTTTGTAATTTGAACAGTGTTGGTGACTGGCTCGCTTCTCTCTTTGAATCCCAATTTGCAAAACCTATAATGATACTAAATACTTGAAGTCATCATCTGAAAACATATTTGTCCAATAGCCTCAACTTTAATTTTTCTAGAGGATGTTTAGTAATAATGATTAAAAATAAATCTGCTGAACGATTTTAACCGAAGAAAGAGTACCCAAATATAATCAAAACTAAGCTTTTCTATACAGAGTAACTTTTTAATTTCATTTTTGAGTCATTTTTCTTCCCCATTATATGTATTTGTCTTCTGGTAGATCTTTGAGGTCTTTAAATTTATTTATCTCTCTCTTACTGCTTCCTGTTCTATTTCTTTAAGGTGAGAATGCAGGAAGATGCAGCTCTCCTAAACAAAAGAATAAGCACTCAGCCAGGGCTCACAGCACTTCCTGAGAATCCGAACACTACACTTCCACCTTTCCAAGATACAGCTTGTGAGCTACAACCAAGGATTGACCCATCTCTTGGTCAGCAGGTGAAGGACGGCCTGGTTGTGGGGGGCCAAGGTGATCCTTCCGTAGATGCCATCTATAAGGCCGTTGTTGATGCTGCCAGCAAAGGAATGCAGGTTGTCATCACCACAGCAGTCAACAGTACAACTCAGATCAGCCCCATTCCAGCTCTGAGTGCCATGAGTGCCTTCACTGCTTCGATTGGTGACCCGTTAAGTCTCCCTAGTGCTGTCAGTGCAGTCATTCATGGACGGAACATGGGCAGTGTCGATCACGATGGTAGGCTGAGGAATGCAAGAGGGCCTCGGCTGCCCAGAAATCCAGACCATGGGAAAAACGCACACGAGGGAGATGGGTTTGAATATTTCAAGTCAGCAAGTTGCCACACATCCAAAAAACAGTGGGATGGGGAGCAGAGCCCTGGAGGGGAGCGGAACAGGTGGAAGTGCGAGGAGTTTTTAGATCATCCAGGCCATATTCACAGTAGTCCTTGTCATGAAAGGCCCAACAATGTCTCTACACTGCCATTTCTGCCTGGGGAGCAGCACCCAATACTGTTACCACCAAGAAACTGTCAGGGAGATAAAATTCTGGAGGATAATTTCAGGTATAATAACTACAAAAGAACTATGATGAGTTTCAAGGAGAGACTAGAGAACACTGTGGAGAGATGTGCACACATCAACGGGAACAGACCTCGGCAGGGTCGTGGCTTCGGGGAGCTGCTGAGCACCACAAAGCAAGACTTGATCCTGGGGGAGCAGTCACCAAGCTCCTCCAATAGCTTGGAAGGTTCTTTGGTCAAAGACTACATCCATTACAATGGAGACTTCAATGCCAAAAGCATGAACGGGTGTGTGCCTAGCCCTTCAGACGCTAAAAGCATTAGTAGCGAAGAGGACCTTCGGAATCCAGACTCCCCCTCTTCAAACGAGCTGATACATTATAGGCCAAGGACGTTCAATGTTGGCGACTTGGTCTGGGGCCAAATCAAAGGACTGACTTCCTGGCCTGGAAAATTAGTAAGAGAAGACGACGTCCACAATTTATGCCAACAAAGCCCTGAGGACAGGAAGGTATACCAATATTTATCCATTGTCCACTACTAGCCTTTATTCAGATATCAGTTATTATTTGTTGTTATTATCACTTTGGATACTTTGGATTTGAAATTAGGATTCTTCATGACTCATTGGGGTTTCACAACCTTCTGGAGCATAAGGTGAAGAGGGGAAGGTTAGTGGCACTGAAATGTCCCATCGCCAAGGGGTGAGTTGTAAAGCATCTGTAGAGTCCACCAAGGCTCAGAGTGGTTCTAGCCTGGGCACCAGATGGCCAGAATTTAACTCTGCCTTTCTTGCCTGCATCTGTCCTAATTCTTCATCCCCCATGCAGAAGATGAAGGCAAGTGGCAGTGAGTAGGGCAAAGTCTGGTAGCCTCTGGAGTCCAGGAGTGTGGCAGAGGGAAGAGTCCTTCCAGGCCACAGGAAGTGCCAGGGGGCAGCATCCCCTCCGTGTGCTTACACGTGACCCTTGGAGCCTGGGAGAGGGTAAAATCAGGGTGGGTTGCAGCCATTTCTGGAAGCAGCAGGTAATATCTGAAGTCAGAATGGTGTCTCCTTTCAGGAAAAGTCCTGGGCCTCTATAGCATATGGAAATGTTTAGCCCCGTAATCTGGTTCTACTTAACACAATCTGATCATATAAATTAAAGGAAAACTTCTCCGTGAAACTACCATTCAATTTAGAAGAAATTAGTAGGGGTCTTCTGGGCTTCCCCCACCCCCGCCCCACCGTTGGTGGAAGTGACTCAGTAGGCAAGAAATAGGCAAGTCTATAAAGTAGATAGAAAAATCTACATCTGACCAGGAGGAGATAATAATGTATGTTTCTCACATATAGTGAAGAAACATAATTTTTCATCTCCTTGGGAAATAGAAATTACTCTTCCAGGTATAGGTATTATTCTGATAAAGAGCATATTGTATAAAGCTTTGTCAACTCTGAGCAAACCTCCACTGGCACTTAGGTTTAATGGCAGGAAACCAAAGGCATTTTTGCCAGCACAATAAAAGGATTGTCTTTCTGCAAATGACCGGGAGGTCCCGAAACCCGTTGCTTATACGCCTAATATATACTTGTCAGGATACACTCTGGCCATAATGTTTCTGTGTTTGATAAGAAAATGAATTCCATACTCCTAGTCACAAAACATTTTGCTCTCTAATCTCTCCGAGAACAGACAAACAATCGTTAGGTTGATAAACCTAAATGTTTTTGACAGTTTATTACAAAATAATTAGAAACAGCAAAATTGGGCTCTTATGATACAAATGGAACTGCTGCAAATACTAGATGTAGACATTGAACTGTTTTAGAATGTCTGTGCACATGAAACCAAGTCCCTTTTAATGTGTGATTTTACAAAAGCTTAACGAAAGGAAGGATGATGGCTTCCCTTTCCTGGAAACCTTCTTCCTGTCCCGAACGCCTCGTCTGCACAGCTCCCACGTACCCTGGAGAACAAAGGCATGTGCTTCTAACACATTTCCCAGCAAACAACGCTCCTGACCTTCCCATTAGTCTGTGTCAGCGAACCCCTAAGATTGAGTTCCTTGCTGATATTCAGGGAGGTAGACTAAAAAAAAAAGTCGTTATCTAAGAGTCCAAGAAACATTTATTTTCCTTCATTTAAGTAAGCACCTGGTTTTCATTCACTATAAAATAATGTTTCAAAAACCCAGATTCTTCATTCTTGCTTGTAAGCAATAAGAAAATTCTTAATTGGGAGAATAAAATTGTTTCTGTAAATGCAAATATCCCCCCTCCCACGGGCTGACATTGTAACTTCGCATTCTCAAATCGTTGACATCCAGATACACTACAAATATTTTTAGTAATTCAGAAAAATAATTTAAAGTAGAAATGTAGAGGTATTGAATAAAAAAAATGAAAAGCATGTAATGAAATATTAATAGCACATGAAATATTTAGCTGTCATTAAAAAGCAAGGTATCACAGCCTTGAATACTCTAGGGCACTTAGTATTTTTCAAACCCTCGATTCTTTTCAGGGCCTTCGTCACTTTTTCACAAACTGAAAACAACAAAGTACTACTTCACAAAGAATCTTTTTTCTCCTATAGTTCACAAAACAAAGGAAGGGCTTCCTCTTACTTTAACGGTGCCCAGCTAGCCACACAGTGTCCCCAGTAAAAGCACCATTTCAAACCCAGGTCTGTCTGACTTCAAGCCCAGTGACCTTGGCCTGCTGCCTTCGTGACCCCGGTGCATCCAAAAAAGATCAAACTGTGTTTAATATCTGTGTGAGACAAAGCACAATCTATTCTAAAAGATTCCCATTAAAACATTTTCTAAATTTGTACTGTGATTCGAGTGAACAAAGTATGAAGATTATTTACGTAGAGCCCCTTAGTCCTCGGTGTATGAAGTCTTGTACATTAATAACCAGACTTCCGCTTTTAAAAAAGGGAAGTGGTGCATCAGGGCTCCCTCCATACACCTTGGCAACGCCTGACGTGTTAATAATGTCGAAAGAGGCTGACTCCATAGACAACTGGTTTATTATACTAGTAGTAAGATCTTATTAATTCAACCTCACTAATGCAGAAGGGACCTTTTTTCCTAGTGTTTATCTTTGTAGCGTCTCGGAGAAAGTTGCCGGACAACTTTCTTACACATTATCCTTTTAAACCTTTTTAGCCTCTCAGTTTTTCATACCATTCCTATGTCTAACAAAGTAAATTAATCCAAGTCCCTGTCAGATCCCACCAGATAAAATCTATGTTAATTCAAGTTTGAGAATAGATTTATTATCTTATCTCCCCCCCCCCCCCCCCCCACATCCCACAAACCTATCATTTATTTATTTTCTGTTGCAGTCTTTGTTCTGAGCTGGACACTTCGGATTCTTTTTGAAAGTAGGCAAAGCAGAAACAATAGATAATTGATTGACAAGATTGCAAGTTACTAGTTCAGAGCAAACCAGGCACCTCTGGTGTTTGTTGGTTGTATGTGCGGTTTCTGTGCTGAGTGGTCAGTGCTGATTGGAGCACTTTTGTCTTTGGGGGCTGACATCTCCAGAGCCATTTGTCCATAAGTCGATGCTTTAGCCAGCTATTTGTCACGATAGTAAATGATCTGTCCAGTTTATTATTTTAGAAAGGCACTTTCAGTCTTTGGTGGGGGTATGACATGTAGCAGAATTACGAATAAGCCATCAGAAATGTTCTGCAGTTTCTGAGATTACTTCCTAAGAGGTATAATTTCTAAACATTAACACTGTGTGAATACGGTCTACAGAGAACTAGAGAGAGAGCAAGGTGTGGCAGGGAAGGCGTGGGCTTTGGGCATTCTGACGTGAGCTTCATCCCAGCTCTGCCAGTTACCAAGATGGTCCTGGATAGGTATGTTAATCTCAAATGGGGATATTAATTCCTATTTAGGATGATGTTTTAAGAGTTGAAACACAAAAGAGGCTCAGCAAAAATGAACCTTCTCATCCATATTCTGTATGCACGATAACCTGATTATTTTGGTTCTCACCATTATAGAACTGTGGCCATCTGACCTTCGTTAGTGTTCATCTAGGCATTATCTAGGAATGCAGGGTTTACTATCCCTGAATACAGGATGATGATAAAAGGAGTATAAGGAATATAGTTAATGAGTTAAATAGTTTATGACTTTTTAATAAACCTCAGCACATCAGACATATTGGCATTTCTAATTATAAATTAATATTAGCTGCTCATTTCAAGTAGGAGTTGACTTGGAAGCATTTCAAAGCTCTCCATTTGTTGAGTGAACTTGAAAGTCCCCTCATCCTCAGATTTTCTAAAAACCATCAACTCAGACTTTCTTCCTCTACCTTCTTCACACACACACACACACACCCCCACACACACACAAACTCAACAACATGATGTAGATTTTTAAAAGTCTGTGAAAAGTTGGACTGAATCACCCCTCCAGTACTGTACCAGTGTTCAATGAAGGGTCTTCAGAGCCTTATTGTGCATTCAGGAAGTGGTATTGCCTTACTAATACTTTTTTTTCTTTAGTTAGCAGTTTGTCATGAAGCATGTTCTGGAAGATACATACAATTTTTCAAAAGAAATGCGAGTTTCTCTAAACTCTGAATGCGTCATAGTTTGAGGTTCAGTGGCTAAGGGTAAGACTTCATTGCAGTGCTCAAGTACAAGGTCATGGCCAGCGAGGCACTGCCAGTTCTTGGCAATGGATCAGAGAATTCTTGGAAAGGAAAAGGATTTCCATTGGGGCCACACCTACGTGCTATAATGTGCAAACAGGTGAAGCCTATGCAACAGGTATCTTTGAGTGCTCATTTCAGCACGTTACAAAAACACGTTTCAGCACGTTTTCAAAAACAAATTTTGGCATTCTCATCTTTGATCTTACATTAGCCTGAAAAGGGATGATTCTCTTTTTCTTTTTTAATGATTGGAAAATAAAATTCTTTTTTTTTTTTCTAAGTAGATCATTTTTACTCTTTGAACACTGCTCCGCTGGTCTTCACATTTTATTGCTCTAGTATCCACTATGCATTTTGACTTGAGCCCAATTTAGGAAAGGATTTCTTTCTAAATTGGCACCAACATGTTTCTTTCTGATGAGACATTTGCTGTTGATTGACAAGCAGGGACGTCTCTTGATTATCCGGGAAAGTTCTCCCTTCCAGTGCGGCACCACCTGGGCAAATGGAGACAGGTCTGTGAAAGCAGTGGGCAGGGTGCCCCTTCTCCAGACTCACACTTGGATTTTTCCACACTGTTGTATTTGGCAAGTAGAGATAAGAAGAGTTCTTTATATAGTCGTTCAAAGCAGACAAAACATATCATTATTAAAACTCATAAGAAAATTGATTTGGGACAGCACACTTCTGCATGTCAGTTCAGCGTCACATGCACACGTTTGACAGAGTAGAGCAAAACCAGAGACAGCTTGCATCGTATTTGGGGGATGTAGAACTTAAGAAACTGAGCCTGGGGACTGGATTTGGGAGGTGTGCCGTCCTGTGATGTTTAAACATTTTAT